TCTCTCTCTCTCTCTCTCTCTCTCTCTCTCTCTCTCTCTCTCTCTCTCTCTCTCTCTCTCTCTCTCTCTCTCTCTCTCTCTCTCTCTCCTAGCATGATCATTGTGGATATGTGTGCAGTAGTTTGAACTGTGAAGTGCTGTTCAACTGAAGCGGTGCATGAAATTTGTCTCTGCTATATTAGGACATCCACCAGGGGACCCAGGCCAGCAGGGAGGTAATCAAGGCCAAATCCGGAGGGGTTCATCGCCTGCCTCACAAGGATTCAATCAGGGAGAAGTGAGGAGATCTTCCAATGCACCTGTAGGCGATCAAGGGTACAATCAGGGAGGAGAAGTGAGGCGATCTTCCAATGTACCTCCAGGTGATCAGGGATTCAATCAGGGAGGAGAAGTAAGGCGATCTTCCAATATACCTCCAGGTGATCAAGGATTCAATCAGGGAGAAGTGAGGAGATCTTCCAATATACCTCCAGGCGATCAAGGGTACAATCAGGGAGAAGTGAGGCGATCTTCCAATATACCTCAAGGCGAAGTGGCGCCTGCAGGCTCTCGACGGGCCTCGTCGCAAGTTCAGGTGAAGAATCCTACAATAAACACACTTCCCATTTCATGGCCATTCGACTTTGTGTCTTTGCTCGAGAAGCACCCTTTCTCTGTTTTCCTTTTCCTTTTTTACTTCAGATAAAAAAGATTTTAAATTGCGGACAAACAGCTCCAGCGTGCCCGACACGAGTTACCCACTCCACACTTCTCTCCCTCACTTCTCTTCGAAGTGGTATGGATCCCCCATCTCACATCAGCACCCCACAAAGTGAAGCTTTTTCTTCTTCTTCTTCCCGTAAATTAAATTGGACCATCACAGGCATCAGCACCTCACCAGCATTATGGCTTGAGGTTTGGCTGGTATGCAGGCAATACTTTCTTTTTTCTTTTCTTTGTTTTTCATTTTTTGATAAAACAGATCCTTACGGTCCTGGCTCCATATCAATTCTGCAGAGCGTCAGTCCGGTTCCTTCATCCCCCAGCAAGTCATAAGATACACCATATTCACCCGAAGGATGCCTGAACAGCATTGATTTTACTCCATTTCATGGACGATTGACTGGCAGCCTGCCATTTTTCTTCTTCTCTCTCTCAGGCCCTTCCCAGATTCTGTCAGATGAACCTTTGTCCACAAGAAAGAAGGAAGACAGTTGGGAACTGATTGTATTATCACTGAATGAGTTCGAATGACTTGTGGTCGCTCAATGCCTTCCTCTGTGAAGGTGTTAGTGCCTCGATATGATGCTTGCTCTGCGATTGTCTGTTGCTCTTCCCTCCTCCTCCTCCTCCTCCTCCTCCTCCTGACTGTCAGATTGGGGGACTGATGATTTGAACCGCTGCTACTGTTTATTATGGACTTTACCCAGTGAGAATGATGCTCTTATGCCATGTTATCTCATGTTCCCATAAGGGGAGACTCACGCTAGGGCTCACTGGCACATATCTGTGCACAATTTTAGGCCAGATATTGGAAATGTACAAGTCTGAGTATGCCCTACGATGAGTATGCGCTGTATGCAGCTTTCCGTGAGGATGATACGAACAAGGATGATACAAACAAGGATGATACGAACAAGGATGATAAGAACAGTCCCGATGGAAACAGATGGATACAATAAGGTTTGGGGCACGATCAACACGAAGAGAGTACTCTCGTGTCGACTGTTTGTGGACAGTTCACATGGAATCTGTTAGGCTTCTTTTTCTAGCCTTGTAACAAGGAGAACCAATGAGTAATCAATGCCATCTTATCCACTTGAAAAGTGGGGTAAACCCAAAACTAACCTGACAATTATGCTCAAAAGGTTCTCATATCATGCATCTGACAAACAGTCGGGCACTTGTATGATGTCAATTGCACTCCAAATGAACCTGTGGGACAGGATGGGCAGCCACCCCCAGGGCCAGCAGGTGATGCCCAAATGGCTGGATCGAGGCGCTCATCTAACAATCCACAGGGATATCCACAGGATGTGCAGCAGCAGCAGCAGCAGCGTGGATCAATTCGTGCAGGCGAGGTGAGGAGGGAATCATCAGGAGGTAAAGGACCATTACCAGAAGACGCTGGAGGGGACAGGCGTGGATCGAATTCTGGTGCTGTTAGAAGAACAGACTTGACAGTCGATGTCCCTCCTGCAAATGATGGTTATGGCGGGGGGTCTCGAAAGAGCTCCATGGAACCGTCTAAGATGCAGGGTGGAACGGAGTCTAGAAAAGGCAGCCACCACTCGGTTGGAGGACATCATGGTAAGTACTAGCAGTAAGCACTAGTCAGCTGTGTATTGTTTCTTTGTTTTTTTCATGGTAACCGTCTGGACGGCTGGACCGGGTTCCAGACAGTCCGGAACAACATGTCCTGTGTCCGGTGTCCCATCCTTATGTCTAGATGGAGGCCTCCAGGGCAAAAATCGAAAAAAAAAACGGGGTGGCCCAGGACGTTTTTCGGGTCCTGGCCGCCACTTGAAAAATAACGGGGTGATTTTTCAGTGTCGTTTCACCCCACCGGACAGGGCCTAGAGGTCCGGACACAAGACACTGCAGGTTTTTGGGGTGGCGGGTTTCACACAGGCCTGAGCAATTTCAAAGCGGCCATTTCGACGTGCCACCCGCCGCTGCTGCCCGTTGGAGAGAGAGAGAGAGAGAGAGAGAG